CTAATGATGGGTGATGGCTGCCCAATCCCTGGAAAAAAAAAAAAAAAAAAAAAAAAAAAAAAAAGGAGGAAACTAACTTTCACAGTGTTATATCCAGATCTGTAAGTTGGACAACTGTAGAGGATGAGAAGATACCTGGAAATCCTGGGGAGTTTAGAGGATCTGATTGAAGTTTTGCAAGTAAAAATGGAAGCAATCTAGAGATTTTCACGTGACTGAACATTGAGTTTAGACATTCAAGTGAAAATTTGAATTAACCTATTCCTGTAGACTCAGTCACAGAGCAAGGCAGCTAAGCCAGGCTTTACTTCAGACACAGATTTACCTACATGGTGATCTCTGCAATACCAGCTAGTACATACTCCGAAAAGCTCACAGTCAAAGCAGAAAAGTCACTGAATACAACTTGTTAGCAACATATAGGTATGACTCAGTATCAGAGGACTTCAGTAAAGCCTTTGATGCTGTTTCCTATGGCACTGTCCTGGAAAAGCTGACAGCCCACAGATTGGACAGGTGCATTCTTTTCTGGGTTAAAAACTGGCTGGATGGCCAGGCCCAGAAAGTAGTGATGAACGGTGTCACATCCAGCTGGCAACTGGTCACCAGTGGTGTTCCCCAGGGCTCAGTACCGCGGTCAGTCCTGTTTAGCATCTTTATTGTGATGTGGAGGAGGGAATCAAGTGGCTCCTCAGTAACTTTGCTGATGACAATAAGTTGGGTGGGAGTGTTGATCTGCTGGAGGGTAGGAAGGTTCTGCAGAGGGATCTGGACAGGCTGGATTGAGGGGCCAAGGCCAATGGGGTCAACAAGGCCAAGTGTTGAGTCCTGCCCTTGGGTCACAACAACCCCTTGCAGTGCTACAGGCTGGGGGCAGAGTGGCTGGAAAGCTGCCCAGCAGAAAAGGATCTAGGGGTGCTGGTCAACAGCAGCTGAACACAAGTCAGCAGTGCCCAGGTGGCTCAGAAGGCCAATGGCATCCTGGCATGGATCAGAAATAGTACAGCCAGCAGGACTAGGACAGTGATAGTCCCCCTGTACTGGGGACTAATGAGGTCACACTTTGAATTCTGAATTCAGTTTTGGGCCCTTGACTACAAGAAAGACATTGAGGTACTGGAGCACGTCCAGTGAAGGGCAATGAGGTTGATGAAGGGTCTAGACATGAGGAATGGCTGAAGGAGTTGGATTTGTTTAGTTTGGAGGAAAGCAGACTCAGGAGAGACCTTTTTGCTCTCTACAACTGCCTGAAAGGAGGTTGGTTGGCCTCTTCTCCCAGGAAACCAGCAACAGGACAAGGGGACATAATTTCAAGATGTGCCGGGGGAGGTTCAGGTTGGACATCAGGACGAATTTCTTCACTGGAAGTGTGGTTAAGCATTGGAATGGACTGCCTAGGGAGGTGGTGGAGTCACTGTCTCCGAAGCTGTTTAAGAAATGTCTAGATCTGGCGCTCAGTACTCTGGTCTAGTTGACAAGGTGGTCATCTGTCAAAGGCTGGACTCAATGGTCTTGGAGGATTTTTTCCCATGTAAATTATTTTGTGATTCTGTGATTCTTTTTCAGAATATTCAGGGGAGTGATTCAGATGCCAGGTGCCTCCGTTGCAGTCTAGCTTTTCTGTGTCCTTCAAAAGCCAGCACTTCTGTTTGACAGGAGAAACATAAAACAAATATACATATTCTTTCATCTGAATTACTTAATGAATGTAATATCTCAGTCCAAAGACTAGGTCACTTTCTTTGTTTCGTAAATTATAAGTTTTCAACAATACACTAGTTATTTTAGAAACCAGAGCTTATTAAAGTTAAAAAGGATATATGAAAAGTAAAAACAAGGGAAGAACACTGCCGATTGCCGTGGCTCGGCCACGTGTGTAAAGCGGCTCCGCCGCTGCCGCTTCTAACATCCTCAGCCACCGCTGGACCCCGCGGAGCCTGCATCAGTTTTCTGCCCAGCAGAAACTGCCTTGGCTCCCCGCCCACCTGCCGCCCCTGCCAGCTCTGCGCCACACTTAAAAGCCACGCCACGACCCCCCACGCCACATCCAAACCACGTGGAACCTACTGAAGGCACCGCACCGCAAATTCCCGCTGCAGCGCCTGAAACCCCCAATAGGGGGGCTAACCCAGCACATTTGCCAACCCATACCGTGGATGATCGCCGCCCATGCGCCCAGGGGTGGGTGTCACCATCTCGCCCGCCACATGGACTGGGGACCGATCCGTCCCTCCCCGCTCCAGCACTACCCTGTCCCACCCACAGGCACAATGGGGGGCGCAACCCCACCCCGGCGCTGCCTCCACCACCCACCATCACCCCCCCACAGGGAACCGGGTTCACTGGGGCTGCAGGGGGGGAGGAATGGGGGGATGAGGAGCAGGAATTCGGGATGGTTCTGCCGGGAGGGGACAAGGCAGTAAACAGGGAAGGATCGATTGATAGGTGGGGTTTGTGTAGAGAGGAGGCATTATGAGTGGGGGACTTGCAAGTAATAAATGCATGCCCTGTCGTTATTGGCCCACGCCAAAACCGCCGATTCCAACCCTTACCGCATGAACTAACAAAAGAACTGAGACAGCTGATAAGGGAAACTGGCGTATCCTCCCCTAACACCCTTGCATTTTTAGAAACACTGAGCTACACCTACATTTTCATGCCACATGACTGGAGAACCCTGTTAAAAATGTCTCACTAACACCCAGTACAATGTGTGGCTGAACAATTTTAGAGAAATTTGCTCCGCTTATGCCAATGACCCACAGGCAGGTGTAACAGCACATCAACTCACCGAGGAGGGTAATTACCGTTCTATAGACTCACAAACTGGGTACAATAGAGAAATATATGAAGTAATAGCTAAACATGCAATGCGGGCTATGAGAAAACTACCCACATCAGATAAAGATACTAATTTATCATTTACAAAGATAATGCAGGGCCCAACAGAACCATACACACAATTCTTAGATCAGCTGCAATCTGCCCTAGATAGGCAGATTGAAAACGAGGAAGCCAGAGAAATACTTAGCAGGCAACTGGCTTTTGAGAATGCGAACCCTGACTGTAAAAGAGTTCTACAGACCCTTCCCAAAAGGGACACATGTAGCATTTCAGAACTGGTTTGTGCCTGTCAGGGGGTTGGCTTTATGGCACATCAGACTGATTTATTGGCAGTAGCTCTGAGTGCCCAATTAAGAGCACAGGAGGGAACCAGACCCAGAAATGGTTGTTACATCTGTGGGGCCCCCAACCACTTTCAAAGGGATTGCCCTAGGAAACCCCTAGAAGTGGCACCCTGCAAGCACCCAAAAGCAAGGAGAGTGCCAAAAAACTGGAGGCAAAGGGCGCTGTCACATGCCCCGATACAGCAAACACATGAGACACAGGGGAACAGACTGGCAATTTGTGCCCCCCCACATCAGCCAGCGTTTTGTACCCCTCCACCTCAGCCAGCGCTGGGCTGGACTTATCCAACAGGGACTCAGTCTTCATAACTTCCACAGAGGTAGTGCTAATCCCGACTGCGCGTTGGGGTCCCCTTAGCCCAGGGGTACATGCACTGCTGGTTGGAAAGTCCTCTACTACCAGAATGGGTTTATTTGTGCTACCTGGAGTGATAGACTCAGATTCTCATAGTGAGATTCTAATAATGACCTGGACCCCTTCACCCCCCTGTTTCATTCCAAAGGGACAGAAAATCGCTCAACTAATCCCCTTCAACAGTGCGTCGCCTGTGGGGGAGGGGGAGAGGGAGCGGGGTTCAGGGGCCTTTGGTAGCACAGGACAGCCACAAGTTTACTGGGCAGCAGCCATCACAGCCACACAGCCACTCATGACATGCCAAGTTAATGGGCACAGATTTACAGGCCTTGTGGACTCAGGAGTAGATGTTTCCATCATAAAGGACTCCGAATGGCCACTTGACTGACCCACTGTTTGCCCAGCTGCAACCATTCAGGGGGTGGGAGGCACACAAAGACCCAGACAGAGTGCCCAAGTACTCACTGTCTTGGGACCAGAGGGGCAATTAGCAAAAGTAGCTCCTTTTGTTGCTCCAATTCCTTGTTCACTGTGGGGAAGAGACATACTTGGGCAGTTTAGCACTGTCATGCAAATTCCTCCTGGAAGCAGCCAGGTTTTTCAATAGGGGCCATTGGTCAGCCATCCCAAACACCGATCAAGCTAGTCTGGAAAAGTGACCAGCCGGTCTGGGTAGATCAATGGCCTATGAAAAGGGAATGGCTTGAACATTTAAAAAAGCTTGTAAAAGAACAATTAGAAGCAGGACATATCGTGCCAACAAACAGTCCCTGGAATACTCCTGTGTTTTGCATTCCCAAAAAGAGTGGCAAATGGAGGATGCTACAGGACCTCAGGGCAGTAAATGCAGTCATAGAATCAATGGGAACATTGCAACCAGGGTTGCCCTCACCCGCTATGCGCCCAGCAAATTGGCCACTAATAATAATTGATTTAAAGGACTGGTTTTTTACCATCTTCCTACACCCCGAGGATGTGCCAAGGTTTACCTTTTCCATCCCAGCCTTGAACAATGCACAGCCTATGCAAAGGTATCCCTGGGTTGTCCTTCCTCAGGGGATGAAAAATAGTCCTACAATATGTCAAACAGTAGTGGCAAACGCTATCCACCCCATCAGAAATCATTTTCCCTCTGCAATAATCTACCAATACATGGATGATATTTTAATTAGTATGGCCACAGAACATGCACTGCAAATTGTTGTTACTACTCTGACTGATGCTGTCCAAGAAGCAGGGTTGCAGGTTGCGCCAGAGAAAATCCAGCGATCACAGCCCTGGACTTATCTTGGATGGAGAGTTACACAGCAAGAAATTTCCCCACAGCCACTGCAGCTTGAAGTAAAAGACACTTTAATCTTACATGAGTTGCAAAAGCTCCTGGGAGCCATTAATTGGTTAAGGCCTATTCTAGGCTTAACCACAGAAGAGCTACACCCTCTGTTTGTGCTGCTAAAGGGGGACTCTGACCTAACGTCTAACAGGTCTCTGACAGCAGAGGCAAAACAGGCATTAGACATTTGTGCCAAGGGGATAGAAAATAGGCAGGGCAGAGGGAGAAATCCTGAACTGCAAATCTGCCCAGCCTTAGTTCCCAACAGGTACCAGCCATTTGCAGTCTTGTTTCAGTGGGATCAGACTGAGAAAGACCCGCTGCTGTTTCTGGAGTGGCTCTTTCTGCCCCACACACCACCTAAAACTGTATGGATGATTAATGAAATGTTTGCTAAGCTTGTCATTAAAGGCTGAGGATGACTACAGAAACTGGATAGAAGACATCCGGCTATCATCTACGTTCTGACCACGAAAGACAATTTAGATTGGATGCTGGCTGAGGACGCAGGATTCCAAGCTGCCTTGGCAAGTTTTGGTGGTAATATTTAAACTCATCTCCCTAAGCACAGACTGTGGGCAGAAATCGGTAATTTACCTTTAAAACCTACTGCCAGATGCAAAACTGAACCAGTAAAAGGCCTCACAGTCTTTACAGATGCATCTGGAAGAACACAAAAGGCTGAAGTGACTTGGGTAAACCCTGATACAGGACAATGGGAATGAGAGGTACAGACCTTGAACCAATGCTCTGTGCAGGTTCTGGAACTGGCTGCCATTCGTATTGCCTTGGGAAAGTTTTCTGAACAACCTGTTAATATTGTTACTGATTCTTGTTATGCTGCAGGGTTAGTCTCATGTCTAGAATGTTCGTTTCTCCAAGATNTCCTCATCTCTTGTTTGAAATGCGTTCTATTTGGGTTCTTGTCAATCACAGAAAGTTTGATTTTTACATAATGCACACCAGATCTCACACTGACATGCCAGGGCCAGTAGCTGACGGGAACCAGGAGGCTGACAAAGCAGCAATGTTTAACACAGTACCCAGGGTCCTAGAACAAGCAAAATTGTCCCATTCATTTTTTCATCAGAATACACACTCTCTAAAGAGACAATTCAAAATAATGATTAATCAGGCTCGAAACATCATCTTGACTTGTCCAGATTGTCAGAAAATCACACCCATGCCATCTCAGGAAGGCGTTAACCCCAGAAGGTTAATGGCAAATGAGATCTGGCAAACAGATATCACACACATCTCCGAATTTGGCACATTAAGATATGTACATGTAACTGTAGACACACATTCACAATACATAACTGCTACATCACACAAAGGTGAGCAAGCCAAGGATGTAGTGAGACACTGGCTCAGTTGTTTTGCTACCCTTGGTACCCCAAAACAAATGAAAACCGATAACGGACCAGCATACATCTCAGAAAAGGTAAGAAATTTCCTGTCAGAGTGGGGAATTTCACATGTCACAGGAATCCCACACTCACCTACCGGACAGGCAATTGTAGAAAGGGCACACCGCACACTGAAAGAAATGTTAGCTAGACAAAAAAAGGGGGAGAATCTGTATAGTCCACAAGAACGTCTGTGGAAAGCCACATATGTTATCAATTTTTTAAATTGTGACAGTGCTGAAAGAAGCAGATATGAGAAGCAGCACAAATCTCAGGCATTTGCCTCTCCCAAGCCACTAGTCATGGTAAAGGATTTGATTTCGGGACAATGGGCAGGACCTTTAGACCTTATGACCTGGAGGAGAGGTTATGCCTGCGTAGCTACAGGAAAAGAACTGAAGTGGATTCCCTCCAGGTGTGTAAAATCCTATATAGGTACACAATCACAGCAGCAGGAACCAGATAACGCAGAAGTTTAAAAAGAGTTATGTTTATGTTTCAAGTTTATATTAAGGAATGACCAATGTGGTAACAAGCAGTCTGCAAAATATCTGTGCATGTATGAGAGTGAGTGAATGACGGTCATCAGTGAATGAGAAGAGTGAATGAATAAAAGAGTTGTGTGACTGGAAGATACTAAAACACAAAACACCTCACAAAACCATGTTACCTCCACCACAAAGTCACTTTAAAAGAATTTAGTCTTGCTAAGCTTACCCTGTTTCTTAAATAAAGTTTGAAATCCCCAGTTATTTAAAAACCCTCAGGTTAATAAAAGTTTTAGTTTTATACACGGTTGGGCTAAGTCCCCTAAGTTAATAAAGTTATTTCTCCAAGTTGCACTACCCTATAGGAATATAAGAAAGTTTTAAAAAGTTTACAATAGAAGTATAAGAGGCCAAGCAAGCGATGTGCTGGGTCATTGTGAGCCTTGGTAATTTACAGTGTACTGTTTGCACTGTTTTGCACTGTTTTCGTGACTTCTTTAGATAATTAAGAGAGGGGTGCTGTGGGAGGTGTGTCTAAGGCACAAGGGACGTGCCAGGGCAGAGAAGCCCAGGGGAGTATGCGCCAACATAGGTAACCTCATTGGCTAAAGAAGTCACATGGTGTTAAAAGATAAAACAACGCAGATTTTGAAATAAACCCTCTTTGTCTCACCGCCTTATGAGGAGCTGTTTTTCCTTATTATATAAGGACTTTACGTCCCCTACAATTTATTGGTACATTTGACACTAACAGGACATCTTCTCACCGTGTAGAGAAAAGACGTAATTAGTGGAACAAGTCAAGTGATCTACTCTCTCTAGATGGTGTTTCCCACTGGAATTGTAACATATTTGTTAGAGAACAAGCTCTGCCTCCATTTCTATAGAGTCATAGGTGATTTTGATTTCCAACAAAATCCTCTGTCTATCATGAGAGGTAACTACAAACAAGAATCCAGTGCTAAAGTCCATTGACAACCTTATCCAGCCTCATGACAACTCTCGGTTTCTGAATACAGTTATGGCAACTGTTATTGCACTTCCATAAAGTTGCTAGATTACCAGATTTGAAGACATGTTCTGTTTTCTTCCAGAACCTTCAACCTAGAATTTTTTATTACCTTAATATAGTATTTGCTTATCCTCACACACCATGCAATTCCAAGTCAGGTATCCCTTCAGTGAAAAGGAATTAAGGAAGCCCAAAAAAGATAGTTTTGTGTGACTTATTATTGTTCCTCCAATTGGAGTTTTTTCAGAAAGGGGAAGGGCAAGGGCAAGGACAGCAGGAGGGAGGAAGAGGAAAGGATGAGGACAAGAGCAGAGACTTCTATATAGAGACCTAAGGCAATACCGTAAAAACATGACACCAGACCCTGCTCAAAACATAGAGAGCTAATTTACCTTATAATGATTTTAAACTGTCAATTCAGACTAACAGCTATGATTTCAACAGTGCTTTGTCCACACTAACTGAGGTACCTGCATACAGCACCAGAGGAAGAAAAGAAAGCCTAGAAGAATTTGGGGAGGTTCTTCTCGGGTTCTTAAATCTAGTCAGACCATTTAGGCTTTCTGTCCCCACTCTAGTCCCTTCATTTTTTCCTGCTCATAAACTCATGCAAATTCAATTCATGGGCCTGTGTTATAACTGCTAGTGGAAAAATATGAAGTCACTTCTGGCTTCCATATGTCAAGATTTTTTCATGTTCATGCAGGTAACATTGTTCCCTGTTTAATTCAAACTGTGTTGTGAGTGTTTGTGTGAGTAGAAATAAATGAACAGAAGACCTGATTTTTGCCTTTTCAGAGAACAGGTAAATAAATATAAGCAAGCCTACTGAGCTCAGTGATTGACAGCATGATCATCTCATTTTCAATTCTTGTTTTTATTTGTTCAGGAGCAGTAAAAAAATCAATCTATAATGCCTTGTCATACCAAGACATCTCTCTTTCTGCAACAGCATCTCCAGCTCTGGGAATAGTATCATTAGTTAATTGAGATAATAAAATTGTCAGAAAGAGAAAGCACAAAATTATATGGTATGTCTTTGAACAATGTTATTAATTTCTCTGTAAGGAGCAGTAGTTATAAAAGCAGATGATGCATATACTCAGTGAGATAATTTCTAACAAAAAAGACAATGCATAGTACTGCTAGGTAGTGCATAGGATTGCAGGCATTGCAAACTGTTGATAAAATAGAATTCTCCAGACATTTTTTCTGTATTTTAGTAGCATAGACTATGTACATCAACATATCACTCAAGGCCAGCATCCTCAGCACTGCTTAGCTGCACATTTTCTTTAAGAATACTCCAAAGATCTACTCTGGCTCCTGAGGTGTCCTCAGAGAATCCTTGAAGAAAAGACTGAATCTGTCATATTTAAACACAGTACCACCGTGTATTGCCAAGCCAGTTACCTCGGTTGTGGCTGAAGGAGAACTTTACACCTTTTCCACACTTCATTACTGTCCTGCTGTGACCTGTACTCTGTTGCCCATCTGACTTCACAGTAAAACACTATTTTAAACAGCAACAAACTTCCTCCCCAGATCAAGTCTTATGTTATCTTCATTTCTTATGACCTCTCTTAGGTCACTTTAGACTTTATGCAAGTTCACCATGTAAGTACTACTGACTGCTCAGAATTCCCAGGAAGAATTACCTTTCCACTGGTTTGTAAATGTGAAGCCACTTTCACATAATGGATTCTAGAACTGCTGTTTGTTTAATGATCAGACAACATTTCTGAAAATTCTGTCAATATTGACTGCTCAGACATTCTTTGGCTAAGATTAGACCTCTCCAGCAAGACCAAACCTTCAGGCATGATCACCTAAGAGATCTGAAACAAATATAACCTATAGAAAAAACAGCTCTGTGTATATTAGTAGAACACTGCTCTCAGGCAAATGCTGTGAAAAACAGGCTGGGTCATTCTTTATCTCCCCTGTTGGAGCACTTCCATTTTACACAAATATTTATTGGAGTAAGCAGGAGCAACTGACAATTCCCATCTGTCAGCTGAACTCACTAATAACAAGAGTGTAGCATGAATCATACTCCTTTCCTCTATCTCTTCTTAGGTTAATGGATATTTAGTTGAGAGATCAGAAAGAACTATGATGGGATCAAGAATATGGCAGTGGTGGCTTAGGGTCAAATTGGTGTCCACTAGGATGACTCCCAGGTCATTTTCTGCCAAACTGCTTTGCAGCTGGGTATCCTCCAACCAGTTCTGATGCCTAGTGTTGTTCCTTCCCACGTGCAGGACTTTGCACTTCCCCTTGCTGAACTGCATGAGGCTCCTGTCAACCCATTTCTTCAGCCTATTGAAGTGCCACTGGATAGCAACATTACCTTCTGGTGGATGAGCCCTTCCTCTCAAGTTTCTGTCATCAGAGAACTTTATGAACGTACTCTCTGCCCCATCCTAAATCCCCCTTTTTGCAAATATACCAGTTTGAATCAAGTGTCTCACTGCAGCAGAAAATTTAGTATCCCCCAGTCTTTCCCTGGGCAGAACTCTCAAATGTCAGTTCCAAGGCTGCAAAAACATAGCCCTGTCTCTCTCCTCTGCTTCCTAACATCAAAATACGGTCTTTCAGAAGACTATACTGAACTCTGGGAATTCTGGGAACCAACATGGTCTCTTAGGTATAACGGGTCTCCATTACCATCCAGATAATCTAAACTATAACTACAGTGTTTGCTCCATTTCAGAAGTCTCCTTATTTCCACAATTTTGTTTCTTGTTAACAATTCCCAGTAGTTCTTTCAACATAAATTCTGCATTGCTCGATACTTCCTACATGCTTGAGCACAACGCACAAGGGAGGCAACATGTATAGGTGCTATGTAGGTCAAAAAGATTTAATAGGTTTCCGGGAAACATTAATTAGAACAGTTTGAGTTCTAATTTTAGAGCAGACAGACATCCATGTACAGTAATATTTTAAAAACATCATTTTACTTTTGTGGTCTGTAGACTGAAACAGAGTAGAGATGATCCCTTTCAATCTTGTTTATGATCTTGAAAAGAAGCTTGAGTAGTCTATTACAGGTCTGAGATAGGGCAAATGTATGATATTATGAAACAAGATGATGTTAAGAAGCTCAGACAAATCATAACATATCATGTTGGATTTTAAATTTATTCCTTCAAACAAAAGTCTAACTTGCATAAATTAGTTGGAGATAAGTCTTGCTTTATAATTCAAATCAAAAATATTCATTTTGGGCATATAACCAGAAAAGGAAAAGGGAACTCTTATTCTGAATTAAACATGGTTTTAGCTCATTGTTTCTTTTATAAAAATAGCCTGTTTCACATTTCATGCTCCCAAATGATACAGTTCATGCCTTGCGGTAAAAATGGTACCAATGGGAAGTGGTTTATGTTCTGTGTTTATATGGGAATAACAAATCAAAACCAGGCAACTCTTTCAATTTCAAAAGCTTGGCTTTGTTGTTGTATATCTGCTCAACTTTTGAAATACCGAAGTATTATTAGCCTGGGGTTTGCACTTATTTTCAGAAAAGTTATTGGGTTTGGATCCTCAGCCAAAGTACTGATTTACATTTCAGTAACAAAAATGCTCTTTCTACCTTTTTACATTTCTTTTTCTTCTTTCAATTCTTTCCCTGAATCTCCCCTTGCCCCAAAAAATAGTGAACATGAACAGTATAAAAACTTTATTGTATAAATGCTGAGAAAGACTATAACTGACAAAAATAATAAAATTAAAACTGTACATGTCTGAGTAACAGTAATAGTTATGCATTAGATGGAGATATTAGGATTTTCTTCTTTATTTTATTAAAATTTGTGTTTATTTCTTATGTTTCCCTTTAACAGAGCTAGTGAAAACTGTGTGTGGAACATATAGATCCAAAGAACTGGGAAGGTCTACATAAAATTTGAAAGCAAAATTCAAAGCTTTTGTTAGAGGAACTTTTAAGATTCCATATGTGTAATACTTTCAT